GGGTACCATATAATATAAGTTTGTGGTTGGACCTGTTGTACCCCAAATGCGTTGATGTCCGAAACGCGCATTTGGGATATTCACTTGCCCCAAATGCGCATTTCGGATATCCCGAGTGCGCATTTCGGACAATATCCCAAATGCACGTTTCGGATAATGTCCCAAATGCACATTTCAGATAATGTCCCAAATGTATCACAAATAAGCATTTAGGATATGCCAAAAGACTAGTTCAGACTCATTTCGGACTGTCCTAAATGACCACTAATGATTTGAGTATATTAAATGAAAGACTAGTAATTTATATTTTATTTATATTTATTATTTATATTTATAAATCTTTATTTTTATTTAATTTGTAAATAAAAATGTAAACAAGCAAGCTTTATATTGGTATTTAGAAATCCGAAATGTGCATTTGGGACATTCCGAAATGTTCATTTGAGATATTGTCCGTAATGTGCATTTGGGATATCCGAAATGCGCATTTGGGGCAAGCGAATATCCCAAAAGATCCTCGCATTTGGGATATCCCAAATGCGCATTTCGGACATTAACGCATTTGGGGTACAACAGATCCATAATGAAAAAACTTTTTTCCTTATAATGTTCTGCCGTTTCACGACTCTTTTTTTTTTCCAAAAAGATTCTGTGCCCTTGCTATCATTTAGGGGTCCCTCTTCATATCCTATTGCTTTGCAAGTTGAGTCAATTTTTTTTTTAGCTTCTTCAGTACACAGCGTTCGAAATTTCCTTTATGAGAGTCTTTCTTAGTTTTATTTTATTTTTTACGATTCGAAGCAGATCGGGTGTTGGGATTAATTGATAGTCTTTCGAAACCACTAATAATGACGAACAAATAGTTCTCAGGTAACGGTGTTACGACTGTGATTGTATCGAAACCAATCTATAAACAAAATCTTTCAAAGGCCTTCCGAAAAAGGTTGAAATTGTAGAATTTACTTGTAGAATTAAAAGTCTATTCCATAGGACAAAATTCTATTATAATACCATACCGTTTAATGACAAATAATAATGAAATAAATGAAATATAATAAATAATGAAAATTTGTTTAAATTACCTTTTATTTGCAAATATTCCTGTCACCGTTTGCATTATTGTAAAAAGTCCCAAAAAGATCAAGTTAAAAAACTAATTCCTCAAAGCCATTAGCATGATATCATTAGATTCTTTGTTGTTTTTATTGTTTCCATTCCAGCCATTTCTATTCCGTACTACTGAGCGATTGATTATGCATGTAATTAATCTTCAACGCTTGGTGTTCATGGCAGATACTGACTTTGATTCCATCTAGTTCAAAGTGTTTATCAAAATACCTTGTCACTTTAAAATCCAGCAAAAATTTCTTCATTTTGTAAGTGGATAAATCAATATGACGATTGATTGAGGAGAGGGGTACTATGTTATTTTTGTTTATGTGACAAAACATAGCGTCCATACATACGGAAATGCTGAGTAAACTAAATCCTCGAAGAGCACGTTCTTATCATTTGCTTTGTTAATATTGATATGAAAATTGCTAACAGTTCTTCTAGGATACTCTTATGATTCTGACTGTAAATTGTAGAACTTTATAAAATCAGACGTTCTAGCTTTGTTGCGATACTTAAGAACGAATTTTGTCATTATAATCAAATGTATAACGTAGCGGTCAAAGGATTCTCGTTCTGTCCCGAATTATAATTACTGGTTATGATAAAACAGGTTTGTTTAACCATAATCTGATGTCTTAATAAAGCCTTACATGTAGGTTATCAAAAGCTTCCCAATATTATTTTTGCAATATTTTCACTGATTGGTGAATCAATAGTTTGGTTGTCCGTAAATTTACTTGATGACTTAGTCGTTCCTTGAGAAAAATAAAGTTTTAATAGCGCAATATCGTTATTTGACATATATAGATCGAAACGATTATGTGCGTAATGGAAAAGAGACATTGAAGATGGAAATTGACATTGATTTCAAATAAAAAATTATATAACAGAAGGTTTGGAATCGAATTTTTATTATTTTTAAAATTTATCTCTAAAAAGATTCAGTGGGTGATTTCTTAAAATTTTATTCGAAGATAACAATTATTTATTTTTTGAGCATGGTAAATGCGTGTGAATATATTACCAATTATAGAGAAATTATCTATGGATCTCAATAAAGGAACAAAATCAACCATGACAGAAAAGAAGAATTGATTCTAAACGATGAAAATTCAACACGTGTCACCTTTAAATAATTTTTTTATTGTGCAAAATAATTCAGATGATTAATAAAATTCATAAGGAATAATCAACGAGAAGATTTAACAGTATATTGAAATAATATCTTATGAGTTTATTAAACTCAACAATGATACTTAATTTTAATTTTGTGCTTTATACCCTTATCTGTCTTGTAACCAATTTTTTTTATCATCGGAATTGTATAAATGATAATATCAAGATGAATAACATACTTACTGGGATCATAAAAAAACAGGCCGGAAGATATTTTTCATTGTTATGAATATGGAGTTTTTATGAACAAATAATTTAAAAGAAATCATTCTTGAAAAACAAAAACCACACTAATTGTAAAAATCCGGACTTAAAAGAAATTGCTATAAATACAATAACTGATAATAACTAAGATATAATTATGGAAGCTATATCAGATAGCTAGCATGTTTTGAATTAAATTTTCATGACATAATCATATTAATTAAATTGGAGACATTTGGATTTTGATAAATTAAGTTGTAATTGTACTTACGTTTATTAACAAATTTTTAAAATTTTAGAATAAATTTCTTTTTTAATTTTTTTTTTTATTTTTTATAAAGGTTTCCGTGGAATTTGATGGTTATATGACTGCAAAAAAAAAAGAAAATTAAACTCTAATTGAATAAATATATTTATTATCTTCTTTCTCATCCTTTACTTTTATGGTTACTTACGCCATACGTCACATAATAATAGTTACCCACGAAACGTTTCGTTATCTAAATTTCTTTTTATTAAATTATTAATGGTATAAGGTTAATTTTTACCGTGCTATTCATTTTAATGTCTCATTGAATTTTTGACAATTCATTGAATAAATAAATATTTCTTTTTACTGTTATAATCCCGGGTATAAAATTTAAATTATTAGTCACCTTTACTCAAGGATCAATGCAAAACGTATGTAAATTCAAAGAACTAGCTGAAAATTATTTAAAGATCCAATTCTGAAAGAATATGACAGCAGAGTAAAAGATGGAATTGAAGGTTGAGATAATAGAAATTAATGAAGTTTATAAAATAAAAGGAAAACAATTGACACGTTGAATCACAAACTGATTGGTCTTGCGGTAAAACCATCATCAAGGAATTGCGAGAAATTACATGCATGATGAATATATTTTGAACCGTAATATGAAGTACATAGAATGAAAATTTATATGCACAGAAGCGGTAAATTATGTTTTCTAAACCAAGTCGTGTATACAGTTTTAAAATAATTATTTTCTTATCAAATAACTTAAAGGTATTCAACAATCTGGATAGTAAAGTACTTTATAATAAAGTTGCTTGCAAATAACAAATTCGTGGTCGATAGTTCAACAAATCATTTTTTTTTTTTTTGTTGGATGAGAAATTATTCTCATTTTGGGAAGGATCGACAAAATACAGTCAATTGATCAACCAATCAAAAATCTTCTAATTGTTTATAAAATAAGCACATCTCGAGCGAGTTTACATATTTTTTTTCTCACTTTCACTTCTGAGGTAACAAAAATACCGTGTTAACCATCCATTCTTTTGAATAATACATAAATACTCAAAGTGTGTGCTTCTCAAAATAAGTTAAAAATTCATAAGAAATACGAGAATTTTTCTTTTTTTTGTTTACTAACGTGTTTAACTTTGACTAGACAACACTCTTCGTCGCGGATTAAACAATGGAATCTTGTAGTGAATTTTGAAGATATTCTAATAGAAAAATTGTTTAATACATTATACAAACATTTACATGGATTGGGTTTGCTTTTTTTAGCGGTTTATTTATATTTATATTTTTATTTTATTTTATTAACTTACTAACAACGTTTAAATTTGACTGACTAGACTACAAACTAAGTCGCGGACTAAACAATGAAATTATGGAGTGATGTTGAAAATTTTATAATAGATAGTACAGTACATTATACATGGATTGGGTTGCCTTTTTATTAGTATATTTTGACTTTTTTTTATATGAATACTTTACTAACTCGTTTAACTTTGACTGGACAACACTCTGGGTCGCGGAATAATCAATGTAATTATGGAGTTATTTTAAGATTTTATAATAGAAAGTATAGTAAATTATATATATACTGTATACAAATGGATTGGGTTTGTGGAATGGGTTCGCTTATTATAGCGTTTTTTTATTTTTTTTTTTATGTTGATTTCACTAACGTATTTAACTTGACTGGACAACACTCCTGGTCGCGGAATGAACATTGGAATTTTGGAGTGTTTTTTGAAGATTTTTAAAATAGACATATATAAGAATTTATATGGATGGGTTTGATTTTTTTTTAGTATGAATATTTCACTAACGCGTTTAACTTTACTGGACAACACTTCTGGGCGTGGAATGAACATTGGAATTTTGGAGTGTTTTTTGAAGATTTTTAAAATTATACAAGAATTAATATGGATGGGATTGATTTTTTAGTGTTTTTTTATTATGAATACTTCACTAACGCGTGGACAACACTCCTGGGCGCGGAATGAACATTGGAATTTTGGAGAGTTTTTGAAGATTTTTAAAATAGACATAAGAATTATGTGGATGGGTTTGATTTTTTTTTAGTGTTTTTTTTTATTATGAATATTTCACTAACGCGTTTAACTTTACTGGACAACACTTCTGGGCGTGGAATGAACATTGGAATTTTGGAGTGTGTTTTCTGAAGATTTTTAAAATAGACATAAAAGAATTTATAGATTTTTTTTAGTGTTTTTTTTTTATTATGAATACTTTACTAACGCATTTAACTCAACTGGACAACACTCCTGGTCGCGGAATGAACATTGGTTTTTGGTGTGTTTTTTGAAGATATTAAAAATAGACATATATAAGAATTTATATGGATTGGGTTTGCTTTTTTTAGTGTTTTTTTTGATTTTTTTATTATGAAAATTTTATTAACACGTCTAACTTTGACTGGACTGGACAACACTCTTGGTCGCGGAATAAAACAATGGAATTATAGAGTGATATTTTTAAGATTTTATAATAGATAGTATAGTACATTATATAAATATATAAATTGGATAGATGCGTTAATTTTGACTGGACAACACGGAAATAAACAATGGAAGTTATTTTTGAAGTTTTATAATTGATAGTATAATACATTAAACAATGGATTATAGATTTAATATTTTATTATAGAAATATATACATGGATTGGGTTTGCATATTTTTATTTTAATTTTTAGATTTTTTTATGTCAACTATACTAACGCGTTTAGCTTAACTGAAATAAACAACAAAATTATGGAGTGGTTTTTGAAGATTTATAATAGTATAGTACATTGTTTAGTGTTATTTGTTGAATTTTTTGTTAACTTCACTAACTGGACAAATCTCTTGATCGCGGAATAAACAATGGAATTATGGAGTGATCTTTGAAGATATTCTAATATAAGAATTTGCATGGATTTGGTTTGCTATTATGTTAATTTTACTAACGCGTGTCAATTATTAATGGAATTATGATATAAAATAACTTCGGAGATTATAATTTTACTGGATAACATTCTTAATCTCGTCTCGTATTCAATGAAATTATAGAGTGATATATAATATTTCTTTAGACCTGTTTGCTTTATTATTTTTATTTTTTCTTTTCATTTTTTTTAACTTTGACCGACAACACACTTGATTGCGGAATAATTTAATTATACTAGAATGTTTGTTCTAAACTTCAATTATCTAATATAATAGTTTTCTTTTTTGCTTTTATAGGGTCCTGATCAATATTGCTGCACCTCAACGTGGTGATCAGGTGGCAACGGGTCTTTAACAGACTTGGCTAAGACAGCAATGAAGATTCTAAATTATAATTTGTATCACTAAAAGGCATGTTTCATTGTATTTAGATATGTTGTAACAATTATTTTTGAAAAAAGAATATAATAAAATAAAACAAAAAGAAATTGTGTGTAAAAGAAAAACTACAGAGATTAAAGAAATTAATAAGTTTTATAACCACATAATTCGCCTTGTCTTGTGAAAGGTCATCACCATTGGTGATGGTGGATGTGTTCATGTTCGTAGACGGAATGAGATTCTCTTTTAGGACTAAAGAGTGATGATGATTCCTGGATGTTAAACCCATCTGGATGAAGCTATCCTGCCCTCCCTTAATGTTACATCTCTATAGGATCATTTACCACTCGATTATACATTGAGTCATGGTATTACGATTTTATATTCTCAGCTTGTAATTCCGTATAAAGGTTCAATAATGCCCTCAAGATTAATGATGTATTTTTGGAATAGTACTTCTTGCGTACACTCATTGACCCTAGTTGGTTTGATATGTATTTACAAGAAGGGTTGGTATGATGCTTGATTTCTTTAATCATCTAAATTCTAAATTAAATAGGTTAGGATCATTATTCTATATTATATTATTATTCGAAGAAATTTTTAATTTTCCGCCAAGTTTTTTCCTAATCCGTCCAAGCAGATCTAACCTAAAAAGTATATGCATATAATATAATATTTACCATCATTTTGCCGGTGTTAACCTGCCTGGAATTGAACCGAAACCAGATTAACCAACAAGGATTTAAATCTAGTCCAAAGAAATATTTATGCAATAATTTTATTAACACGATTATTTTGTGTAGTTGATTATTACAGTCAAGTCGATATGGAAACAAGTCAAAAGGTTAATGGGTAAGGATAGAAACTTATTAACTCGTTATCATATTTTTTTCGTCAAGTCGGAATTTGAGGTTTTTGTATATAAGATAATAATAATATAGCGAAAGTAACTAATATAAAAAAAATAATTAATTAAACGTAAATCACAAATAATAATAAATAACAATTATAAACAATCTAAAAACTATGTATAATATTTTAGCAATACATATATATAATTTCCACAGTTACTGCGCCGTTCGTAAATTCTAAATTTTTATAAAACTAGTGTTGTTCGCAAATCGTATTGCGACTCAGATGACCTCGATTGTCATGAAAGTAATACATGACTAACTTGTAGTCATATGGATCGAATAATTCAATTTTCATAACTTATATTATATAGTTTATTTTCATTACTTGTTTAGTTTTCCTTACATGTATTATTTACAGATGAATTTGCTCTTTTTTTTCTCTTCAATTCTTTTTCACAAGGACAAAAAAAAAAGGAATTCTCAACTACTCTCGTAAAAACTACTGAGGAGGACAGAAATATTGCACGGTCAAGAATTAGATAATTTTGTAAAGTTTCATAAGTAACTGAGCTATATTGTTAATGACACATTAGCTATACAGTAAACCCTTGATATAACGAATTTGGCGTCCGAGTTTATCAGGCCTTCGTTATAAAAAAATTCGTTAACGCTATAACGAATTATTCGTTATACATACCAAATAATTCGTTATAGCGTTAATGTCACATGACTTTATTACTGTTTAG